CTCGTTAATAGTTAATCAAGGAACTTGAGTCACTCCTTTGTGCAACACGCTCTCGACAAGAGCCCGCGAGCGGGATAACATAGTACACGCGCCGACACCCCAAACAGAGGCAGCCGGCATGGGAGACAAGTTCCCCGGCTTGAAGTGCGGCGATCNCGCCGACACCCCAAACAGAGGCAGCCGGCATGGGAGACAAGTTCCCCGGCTTGAAGTGCGGCGATCCAAGCATAGACAAGCTCGTCCTATGTAAACGTGCGGGTTGCCTGTTGGAGCTGTTCGTACTGAACCAGCAAAGGGATAGCAGGGCGCCTACCAAACGCCGAGCAAAGCGAGGGCCGAAGTGGACGTGCGCTCCTGAACCTGTCAAGCAGCTAAAGCGCCGGTGCGTTGATCGCTACTGCACTTCGCCCGCGACGTTGGAGGCTTTGCTGGGTGTTGTTAGCATCAGCGGGTGTGTGCTAGACATGTGCGGGGGGACGGATGATGCTGTAGCGATTCGCCTTCGAGACACGTGCCAAGTACTCACGAACGATGTGGGACCGAGGTGAGGGGATGACGCGCGCTTTTTTTTTGTGTGCTTGCGGTGAGAAATAGATAGACACCCTTCCTGCTCTTTCCATAGCGTTGGGTATTCTAGCGTAACATTCCCTTGAACTCCCCAGCACGAAATGAGGCCACTCGTAGGCGCAATATCAACGCTGTTTGCCTCTTGGTGTGGACGACGCCGTTGTACATCTGCCTGTCAACGTCGAGCCGGCTAGGCGAATTGACAGCAGTAGTATCAATCTGTTTTGAACGATGCTGAGTTACATTCAACGGACCTAGTTGTGCAATCTGCTCCAAGCTTACCGTTCCTTGNAATATCAACGCTGTTTGCCTCTTGGTGTGGACGACGCCGTTGTACATCTGCCTGTCAACGTCGAGCCGGCTAGGCGAATTGACAGCAGTAGTATCAATCTGTTTTGAACGATGCTGAGTTACATTCAACGGACCTAGTTGTGCAATCTGCTCCAAGCTTACCGTTCCTTGTTTCGTGCAGATCCACGTCGTAGATATAAGTCCGCTCTTTGTTTGCATGTACCCTTTTTATCGTTGAGGTTTCGCAGATAGGTTACATGTGGAAACGAAATGCCGCAAACCGAGTTTTTGCCAGGCACAGATGTTGCTTGCGGTGCACGCATATGGAGCATCCCAAGCTTGACTGTATCCGATTGAGGCCAAAGCATGTGGGGGGAATTCGTAGTCTACGAGTGACCGACAGTGACGGCGGCCTTTTTTTTCCGTTGGTGTGGTCCAAACGCTTTGGTGTTGTTCAAACCTTCCAGAGCAAGTTTCATTCCTAGGAAACACGGGGAAAAGCATGTGTGTAAGTGCGTCAGTGTTGTTCTATGTTCTGACGCCCTTTGCATCCCTCCTGTTTATTTACCTGGGTTTTCTTTCAAGGTTGTCTCCGGCCACGAACCTGGACGCGAGCTCGGCGTCATTTACGGACGATTTCCTGGCAGCACACCACGGGCAACAACCTGACTGGATCGTGACGAGCCCCCCGTACAAGGGTGCGCTGGCCTTTGTCAAGGCGGCGTTGACGGTGGCGAAGAAAGGCGTGGCGCTGAAATTGCCGCTGTCGTTTCTGGAACCCTGTGCCGACCGAGCAGGTTGGCTTCAGGCGAACCCCCCGGCTCTATGCATGATGATGAGCAGGGCCCGGTACCAACCCGCCCACGTAAGGGTGGGCGAATTTTGGGGTGTGTGGTACCCTCCTGGTAGTTGATATAGTAGTAGTGATAGCACGAAGCTTTTGTTTGTTCCTAGTTCGAATACTTTGTTGAGAGTCCGGGAGGACGAAATGGCGCATGGACCCGTTTTTTTTTTCTATGTTACGCTCAGGCTTCAGGTCAGTCCGACCGCTGACCTTAGGTGTCAGAGGGCGCGCCCCTTGAGGTAGACCCAACAAGTCGATATCCCAACATTGAACGGTAATGCGCACGAGCAATTCATGAGTGCGCTAGAAATAAGGGAAATGTACTACTGTGATTGCGATTTACCGGCAACACGTAGCCGACTCGAGTATATGGGGGTCAGTGCTGTTATTTGGTGGCGAGGACTCTTTCGTTTGTGTGCCGGTGTTTCTCACTGACGTCTTCGGCAGTTTCCCTTTGTGACATGAGGTGCACACCGCACTGGCCGCGGCATCGGAGCGTGTGGGCCTATTTTAGTTTTGTGTGTACTACCAAAAGCAGTTGTAGCGGGTGGTGTCATGTGAAGAACAGCCCCAAATATTTGTTTGCTGTGCTTCGGGATCCGCGTCCTGTTGATAACATATTTGCAGCAAGAAATACAACGAAATATTATCAAACGGACATATCGTTACTCGGGGCCGCCATATTATCAGTCGACAACACCACCCGCTGCTGCGTACCCCCGCCCGACCCCTCGTTGGCGAGTTGTTCCTCGTACTCTCGCGCATCCTCTTCGGAGAATCCACACACACCGGTGTCCACCCCAAACGACGAATGCCCTTCTTTCTCAATACCACCCAAACATTCTACAATCGGCGAATCTTCATCATCATCAGACTCGGACTCGCTGCCACTATCATCATCGTCGGGCAGTACTATCGCAGGTGTAGACCCTCGCTGCACCCTGGGTAAGGTGCTTTGTTCATCAAGGCATGCAAGGTTGCACTTACACAACTGTGAACAAGACCTGGACCACCCCTTTGCATGCAAACGCAGCCAACAGGGTTTTCGCCTGATTGAGAGCGGAGTATACGATTGAGAGCGGGAGCCAAAAAAATTGAAATTTCGGGTCCAGACGCCTCTTGCCATTTCTTGGGAAGTAGGGGGCGGGCTCTTCCAAGAAGCGGCGAAAATTGAAGGTCTCATCAGCAGCGTCACCAGGATATGCGTGTCATCGCGATCGGATGCTGCAGCTAGGAGCTAGACAAGTTGCTAGATTTCCCCAGATTGGCTATTCCTGCCTCAAACTGTTTCAGGGCGATTTGATCGCGGGCGGTGAGCTCTGCTGTAGATTCTGCTCCCCGCTGTAGCTCCACAACGAGAGACGTCCACAGGATGACCAGGGTATCGGCTTGTAGCTACGGGCTAGGCCTTCAATTCAAGTCACGCAGCAAGCTCCACCTCTCGGCGGTAGTCCAGCTACAGCGCATCGCGCAATCTCGCTCTTTATCAGAAACTTCGCTCTCAATCACACGAAAACCTTGTTAGCCCCTACATTGACCCTTCCCCCTCTCAGATGAACATCTGCACGACACGATGTGAATTCCTACACCCGCCCAGAGGGTCACCTTCGGCAAATCACGCAACACCAGCAAAACCCCCCCTTCGCACTCCGGATTCGCAATGTACCCCTTGCCATTTCAGTCGGGAACTTGAATTGGATACATGGCGGACACATTTTCGAAAGGGACGGTCACAATCGAGAGCCAATACTCCACCACCCGTTCCATGCGTAGCACGCAGTTGTTAATAACGTCGAAATTTGGGGCAGGAGCCTTAATGCCCCCCTTCCCAAAACTATGTTCGGCAGTGCGGTCGCTGATGGCCTGGACCCATGGCCCAGGTATTCCGACCTTACCTGGCGTCCCGGAAGGACGTTCACAAAGAGTTTGCGATGTGTAGTAAAGTACGCTAGCGAGACAAATTCCTCTCTGGCCAGGTCTACACCAGATATCGACACCCCCTCACGTTGCTCGGAACCCAGCGGCAGAACAAAGTTGTGGTTGCCGGCATCCTTCAACGCGTCGTAGTATGCTTGGAACATACTCGATGCCGTCAAGCCACTAAGCGTTGGAGTTAAGTCAGTCCCGTTAAGAACAAATGCGGAGACTATCGGTAGCACCCTCTGCAAATTGGTGAACGAAGATGGCCAATTTCGCATTGCCGATAGATCTTGGAAAAGCTTCAGGACGTCGATGCAGTTGACGTAAGTGTTACCGGTCATCCCGCTCTGTCGCACGATGATACGCACGTCCCGAGTCGACGGATGCACGGCGTACGCCAGGAGAGGTGCCATCCAAACGTCGGTGTCAACCGAAACTACCTGATTCATGCAAGTAGGGGTGCGTGAATGGTATCTGAGTCTTCAAAGATACTAGCTCGATATCTCAGGCTGGAAGGGACACTGACACCATATGAGCGTACGACGCGAGAAGTCTTCCAAACGGCTAGATAAAACACCACTGACGTTCAAATTCCGAGTTGATGTTAGAACATCCATTCTGAAAAATCCAAATACGACAAGATGATGGGCCAAAATGTGCCACCGTAGCAGGACTCACCTCCACTATCACGGGATCTTTCGCTTGTAGGCACCACCACCCCACCCTCTCGTACCTCACCCCCCTGCCCCCTGCCCTCTTTGTTGTTCTTCCCCGTCATGTACGCGTGGTGGAGAGCCTGGAGCTCACCGACCCCAATACCGTTGACTTCGAGGAGTATCATGTCAAGCTCCTTCGTATTGTACCACGACAAATAGCTCTCTGTCCGCGAGTAGTCGCTGGACAGAACTGTTGCGAGGAAGACCTTTCCACGAATAGCTTCACCCCCCCCCCTTCCCCCCCCGCTGGTGTTTGCCATCGGGGTTGGGTTTTCGTCGCTTGGCAACGACGTTGTAAAACAAGCCAATTCACTTCGTGAACTCGGCAACCAGGTTACCGTTTTTTTTTTTTACCTCCGTTTTTTTTTTTGGCGGTAACCATAATGGTGGTCGAGTAGATCATGTTGTGCGGGGTGGAGAACCCTCACTCCGCGCAAGGGGGATGATCGCACCACGTTGTGTTAAAATGGTCAAGCACCCTCGAGGCAGTTACACAGTGCTTACAACTGTCTCTGGAAGTGAAAGCACCAGAAAGTAAATTAAGTCATACGCAGCTGTCATCCGTACGCAAGGAAGTAAGCACAAGATGCCGAAAACCCTTAGCAGGATGCAGCGCACCCTTCATGCGACTCGCCGAATATCTCACGGCGCTTCGCGCTTGGTGATGTGAGAGCCTGGTCCGGTGAGAACCCGGCGTGCTCCGTCCCGGCTTTGTAGGGATGCGAGGTCAATGGTCTAACGACTACGGCATGCACGACTATGAGTACCCCCCCCCCCCGTTCGCTACGCCCGGAATGGGATTCTCACTACGGCCCCCTCTCATATCGCCAACAAATGCTTGGCGCCAAACGCTTGGACCTGTCAACGTGGGTTGCCAAGTCCAGCCAGACATGTCAACCGAGCAACGAGGATGTTGTGTCACCAGGACTTTTGTCGCTGCCACGCGTGGAAGGTCTGCATGTATGCATACTACAGTTCTATACAGACCAGTGATGAAAGAACAAATATGCCTTACACCCTACGGGAACAACCGAGGTCTTGACAGTAACTTAACTCGATTTTAGGTTTTGTTTTTTAAGCTCGTCAATCATAAGAATCGTGCGCGTTCATTTCAACTACTGTTGTATCTCCATGCCACCACCCTACCCAGGATCGTCGTGTTATTCACTGGGTGAGAGAATCAGGGCTGAAGGGTAGGTTCTTTCTTACGACATGTAACAGACACATGTTTGCCTCACACCACCCACCACGGAAAATATTGCACTTTTCAATACTCGGTGAACCAGTTATTCACGCAGAACAACATATTCGCCTGATTGAGAGCGAAGTATCTGATTGAGAGCGAGAGCCAAAAAAATTGAAATTTCGGGTCCAGACGCCTCTTGCCATTTCTTGGCAAGTAGGGGACGGGCTATTCCAAGAAGCGGTGCAAATTGAAGGTCTCATCAGCAGCTTCGCGAGCATATGCGTGTCATCGTCATCGGATGCTGCAGCGAGGAGCTAGACAAGTTGCTAGATTTGCCCAGATTGGCTATTTCTGCTCAAACTGTTTCAGGGCGGTATCGCGTCGGGCGGTGGGCTCTGCTGTAGCTTCTGCTCCCCGCTGTAGCTCCACAACGAGAGACTCCCACAGGATGACCAGGGTAGCGGCTTGAAGCTACGGGCTAGCCCTTCAATTCAAGCTACACAGCAAGCTCCACCTCTCAGTGGTAGTCCGGCTACAGCGTATCGCGCAATCTCGCTCTCAATCAGATGCTACGCTCTCAATCAGGCGAATATGTTGTTGCAGGAGAATCTGAGTGACAATCATTGTGAGCCCTCATATAGCATACGCAATTTGGCGTCGCTACTGCCGACTGCACAAGTGTCTATGGCGTGTGGAGAGCGCAAGCGGGGACGGGGTGTGTGCTCGAAGTTCAAATAATTGTAATATTTGTACTCTGTTGTTGCAAGGCGGACCGCTGTTGTTGCATTTGCTATGAACAACATATTCGCCTGATTGAGAGCGTAGCATCTGATTGAGAGCGAGATTGCGCGATACGCTGTAGCCGGACTACCACTGAGAGGTGGAGCTTGCTGTGTAGCTTGAATTGAAGGGCTAGCCCGTAGCTTCAAGCCGCTACCCTGGTCATCCTGTGGGAGTCTCTCGTTGTGGAGCTACAGCGGGGAGCAGAAGCTACAGCAGAGCCCACCGCCCGACGCGATACCGCCCTGAAACAGTTTGAGCAGAAATAGCCAATCTGGGCAAATCTAGCAACTTGTCTAGCTCCTCGCTGCAGCATCCGATGACGATGACACGCATATGCTCGCGAAGCTGCTGATGAGACCTTCAATTTGCACCGCTTCTTGGAATAGCCCGTCCCCTACTTGCCAAGAAATGGCAAGAGGCGTCTGGACCCGAAATTTCAATTTTTTTGGCTCTTGCTCTCAATCAGATACTTCGCTCTCAATCAGGCGAATATGTTGTTTATGAAAGAAACGCTGACTAAATCATAGGGCAGCTAGACCTCATGTGAACACTCTCGACAGCAGCGCAACTGCTGACCTCAACCGACCAAGCGTTAGCACACGTGTTGGGCGTGTGGCGCGCGCGCCATGTGCAAGCGAGCGGCATAATAACTGCTGTAAGGGGAATAGCAGTTCATACCTCATGACCTCTTCACCAATATCTGTGATACTCATGCGTGTGGTGATATTTGAAACAACGGTGCTTACAGAACCCTAACAAGCCACTCACGCACCTCTGCTGCAGTCAATGGAGCGCTTGCTGGCCGTGTGACGGCGCCGTTGCGCGTTGAACATTGCAGCAGAAAAAAGGAAAAAACAGCCTGTATTCGAAATACTGGAAGCACGCAACGGACCTAAATGCAGTTTGGATACCCGATGGGGTGAACCAAAATTGACAGCGAATAGGTGTGTGAGCATCGCCAATGTGTGGGCAATCCATAGATGATGTGCACGAATTGGGATCAGCACTACAGCGCGAGTTGTGGCAGAATAACCGAAAACACTGCGCGGAGAGACTGCTGCCCGATGTGATTCCAGGATTTGTAAGACCGGTTATTATGGCTCACAAATGTTGCAAGAAAAGTTGCAAACTTTTTCTGCAACTTTGCCCGGGAACTTTCGTCTGTAACTTTTATGTTTGCTCAAGAATTCTGGATTATTTTTTCTGCAGGCAACCAAAGAAAAGCCAAGACACATGAAAAAAATTGAGAGCGCAGGTAAAATGCCGTCTTGCTCCCAACGTTTTCTTATCGGACTAACCCGTTGCAAACTTCCCAAGATTGCCCTACTATCATTACTATTGTTTCGGCCTCTGGCCTAAACACATTTTGCTCATAATAAACCGACTAGACCCCCCCATGCTCCCCCCTCTCTTGAGTGATAGGTGTGGGTGGGCGGGAAAATCGATCAAATCCTAGGCGGCACTCCGTGTTTGCTGCTCTTCAAAGCTGCTATCTCTGCTACTCCTCTCCTCTCAAATGCACTTGTTTGTCTCTCGCCCAGCCAAAACCTTTCTGACACGAGGGCTGTCTCTATGTATCTTCGATCCCCGCTTTTCCGAATTCCAACACGCCTCCACAAACCACAGATTCCAATGCGTACTGAATCTTCTCGTTCATGTTTTCTTAAGAATTCTGGATTATTTTTTCTGCAGGCAACCAAAGAATAACCAAGACACATGAAACAAATTGAGAGCGCAGGTAAAAGGCCGTCTTGCTCCCAACGTTTTCTTATCGGACTAACCCGTTGCAAACTTCCCAAGATTGCCCTAGTATCATTACTATTGTTTCGGCCTCTGGCCTAAACACATCTTACTCCATTGAGCATGTCCGATGACCTACTCCTCCGAACCGCTCCCTGGTCACTCTTCGGGTTCCGTAAGGGCCTGAGACACAGACTTTGCTCCTTCACCCCCCGCCCTAACGTACACCATAAACGCCGATGATTTCCACCTCCTGGCTCTATGGATCTGGATTATCGGCGCCCCCATACTTGCTAGGTGCGTGGCCCCCCAATCCTTCCTGAATGCAACGCTTACTTCTGTGGGGCTCTACCCGCCGCACTCACGAGTAACCTGAGGTGTCTCGATGCCTCTGCCAACGAAATAACCCTCCACCTGTCTTGTGCCCACGATTGCGTCAACGGCGCATGACTCCCAAGCTCGGGGTGCAGATCGAACACATCGAGTAACACCTTCAACCCTTCTCCCGATCTAGTAACGGTTGCTCCCAAACGTTTTTGATCTGCTTTTGACGCTCTGAACGTGACTTCCACTCAGCTAGCCTGCCTCCGGTCTGCCCATGCAACCCTTACCGGACCGCAAAAGAAACCCAGGTCTCCTCTTCTTAGACAAAAATCCGAGTGCACGAGCCCCGAGTGGTCCGCCCAGATTTCTGAAGCTCGGCACATCAGCAAGTACGAGAGGGCAAGTCCGCACCAGATCAACTTTCCTGATTCTCCCGAATATTCGACCACGCACTTTCCAGCCTCTAGCGTGTTCCATGTGAGTGGATTCCTAACCTTAGGCTTCGTCTGCGTATTGGCGTGGACCCTATCAATGGTCTTCAGCATAGCAAGGATCTGAAAATGCGCAGTGGGCAACTTCCAACCTGCGTGCATCTTATGGAAGTACTTGATGACTGAGAGATATCCGCGGATAGTTTGACTCTGGTTCTTGTGACCGAAACACCGGCAAGCCATGAACACCGACAGCTCACGCACCGCACTTTCCACCCCATCGCATTCGCGGAGCCACGGGCCCGAACCCGCCCCTGCTCGAGCCTCCTTCCAAGTGTTCCACATCCTTTGATACACCTTGTTGGTAGCACTTCCCAAAGACCCGAAGGTGAGTGCGTTGACCAACCGCTCCCCCTCGACGCTCGTGCCTCCCCGGCCATCCTTTGCCTGTGTTCCTGATATACAATCATCGGGTATACACAGCGTGAGGACTGAGCACATTTCGAGATTCCTTTCTAAGGTACGACAAGTTCTTGCCGAACCCATGGATAGCCCTGACTTGGCTTGAGTGGAGAACAGGAAAACTTGGTCGTCCAAACCAACTCTGCCTCCCCCGGCTATCCATTTCATCAAGGCGTCATGAAACAGTGAATGCGAGGCGTGTCCACCGCTCCAGCTTCTCGCTATCTCATCTCGTTTGATAATTCGTTGATCGTCCGGAACACAGAGCGGTGTCCAACCGCCCCCGCTGCCGTGTCAGATATTTTCTGTTCCTTGGACCATAATGTCCCATACCGAGTCGTCCAGACTCTCTTTTGGCAATTTCTTTTGTAGGATAATGCTGAGCAACGCTCGTCCCCCTTCTCCAATATCCTGCTGTGTCCACCCTGAGTCTTGTGAGCATTTTTACATTGGCGGCGATCTCGTTTTCTTCCCAACGTGAGATCCCGTCCGCGAGTGTGTTCTTTCGACCAGGAATGTGCTTGGCCACGTGGCACCAGCCGCAAGAAATTTCCATCCTACCCATGAGTCTCATTATGAGACTAGCGCGCCTGTCCCGCGATCCTCCACACCTGTTAGTCCAACGGCCGACACGTTGTCTCCACGCGTCAACACGGACTGTCCTTCTTCTATAGGTCTGTCTTTCAAGATCATTTGGACTACCCACGCCGTCATGAACATGCCCGCGAGTTCTAACAGATCGATCGTAATGTCTGCCGTCTCCTTCTCCTGCGCCTTGCGCTTGAGCTCCGCAGACAACGATGATTCGATCGTGTATCTCCAGAAAGTCTTTAGTTCGGGACAGTAGCCGCCAATCGCTGTGAAGCTAGCGTCTGAGTGGTAAAGGCGTGAAGGTGCTCGTTTTACGTGGAGTAGGAACGATGCGCTGAGGGACTCCCCTCGAAGTGCCACTGGCTGATTGAGGGCCCACTTCCAGAAGGCGATATCGCGTGGAAATCTCTACCCAAGTCCACTAGGCGTCGTGACCGTGTGTGTCGACTGGCTTGCGTATCCAGACCCGATAGGCGGAGCAGTTACCACACGAAGTACCTACCAGTCCTGATAACATTAGTGAGGTTCCACATTTTTCCTGCAATGCTGAGGACTTCTTAAACACTGGCCTTCTTCCTATCATGGGGCCAATCTGCCTCTAGTATGTTCCGAATCGCGCTTACCCGTTCGGGTGTAGTTGCAATTCTGCCATCATGCGTGTCTATGATGTACCCCAGGGCCTCTATGACCGTGTCCCAGTCAGTGCTCTTTTTCGGGGCGAGAATGGGGGCTTCTCCGACTTCTCCCTTGCCAAACAGTCTGACATGGTCTGACGCTAGCGAGGCGGAAGCAATGAGTGCCGATTGGTCAGTGGGGTCATGCGGTACGTTCGTGAGCAAGAAATCGTCAACGTACACCCTGGCCAAGAAATCGTCCGCGGGTCACCCGCCTCTATGCGGTCTTACGCCTGCCGACGATGGTATTGGGGTTGGGGTGCCTCTTTCCCAAGGAGGTTTTATTTTCACGTGGGACATCATTGCGATTCATTCTGGTAGTAGTCTAGCGTTCGCGAGGGACGTGTTGCGGTGCGAGTGCTCTGCAGCGGATGCTAACACACCCCACAATCCTGGTGACGCTGCCCAGCCAAAGGTCAGCCGTAGGTCCGCTACCAGCACGTCTCCTATCATGTGGCAAAAGTTGTGTGCATGATCTGGTGATATCCTCACGCAGAGGTGACATCAGCCTTGGCTGCGAGGATTCTCTTGTCGGGCCAACTTACTCGTAGGCTAGTGAGCTCCTCGAGGAAAGCTGGTAGTGCTTCGCCGCACAGGCAACGTGGAACTCCAGACATAATGGTATCTTTGTTGAGCCCACCTTTTGACCCCTTGCTAGTGCTTGGGTCAAAAGCGAAGTCGTTGATGATCCTCACTTTTTTCCCTGGGACCGCTCCCACCGGGGCTACTCTGATCCCACGTACGTCCGACGCGTTCGCCTTTCCCAGGACAATACACCTGTTACGCTTAACATCGTCGCATAGATTTTCCCGCACTTATGTTTGGTGGTCGTCTACGCTACGGTGGTTGCCGTATGCCAAGGCTTTCTTAATGTTTGCTGCGAGTCTAGAGTGGGGGCCGGGGCTCCTTCACCGATTATCTCAATGAGGTCATCGATACCCGGGAGCCCTTCTCCTCTCCGAAATACTGCTTGACGTCGCTCACGTCCAACGGCGGTGACACCAGAGTGCCGCCGATTCCCCTCGCGACGTCTCCCAGCCTTCCATAGTGGAACTTTACCAAATCACTACCAATGTCTGCCATCTTCCGACCGATACATTGCTTCTCGTCTAGTGAGTGTATGCTTGACGCTTTTCTGTACCTTGAGTCTATCGATCAGAGCTTTCGAATTTTTCAACAAGGTTGTATTTTTTGGACTCGAAGGTTCTTTCCCCACCCCAAAGTGAGAAGTCGCTGAATTCGACCCGCAATCATGTCGCATTACTTTTGTGATGTCAGCGGCCCTAGCAGTGTCCGCCGCTAGAGCCCTACGTGCCAACAGTGCTTCCCCCGGGGTGTCCGCCCCCGGGAGGACTTTTGACACGGTCATGGTGTCCGCCAATTCCGTGTCGTTCCCGCGAATGGTGTCCGCCAATCGGGGCTGTGTGACTGACAAATTCTTAAACAGGGTGTCCCGCCCGTGTATGTCCTTCTGCACACTACTGCTGTCCGCCAGTATTTTTTTATTACCGACAACGCTCGCGGCGTCCACCGCTTGCGTGCCGCGGGGCCAATTACATTCGCCCGGGGTGCCGCCCCCGAGGCGACTGCATTGCAGTGTTCAGCACGTGTGANAGAGCCCTACGTGCCAACAGTGCTTCCCCCGGGGTGTCCGCCCCCGGGAGGACTTTTGACACGGTCATGGTGTCCGCCAATTCCGTGTCGTTCCCGCGAATGGTGTCCGCCAATCGGGGCTGTGTGACTGACAAATTCTTAAACAGGGTGTCCCGCCCGTGTATGTCCTTCTGCACACTACTGCTGTCCGCCAGTATTTTTTTATTACCGACAACGCTCGCGGCGTCCACCGCTTGCGTGCCGCGGGGCCAATTACATTCGCCCGGGGTGCCGCCCCCGAGGCGACTGCATTGCAGTGTTCAGCACGTGTGATGTCCGCCACAGTCTTCGTGGTGTACAAGGCAGAGCAGTAATTGATCCCGCTATTGGTGTCCGCCAATAAGTATTATTCCGTTAGTGAGTTTTTCGCGGGAACGGCGTCCACCATTTGCGAGGGTGAGGGTAATGCATGTTCACCCCGGGTGTCCGCCCGGTGTGTGTCAGTTTTCGCACAATTGGTGTCCGCCAATAGTTTTGACTTATCTATCACCCGTGGGGTGTCCTCCGCTTGTGTGTTATTGGACCCGCACTTAGCGCCGATGGTGTCCGCCCCCGTGGCTACTGCTTTTGACGTTTCGGCGTGAGTGGTGTCCGCCACGATGCGAGGCGAAAACGAATCCAAACAGTTAACAGTATGAGAAATTGCGGGTTCGCAACTCATGCTCTCACCGTAAAACACAGCGGGTGCCACCGACCCGGGAAGGGGAACTCCCACGCTCGCTACNGGGGGGGGGGGGGGGGGGGGGGGGGGGGGGGGGGGGGGGGGGGGGGGGGGGGGGGGGGGGGGGGGGGGGGGGGGGGAGGAACAGCAGGCAAGAGTGACGGGTGCCGCTGGGTGTGCCCCTTCTCGCACCGCGGGCGTGTGCAGGTCGTGCCCGACCACGTGTAGGAGCCGTGGCAGCGGATGGGACTGGGGCAACGGGGGTGCGTGCAGGTTGACCCTGCGAAGTAGCCTTGCGCTTGGTGCTCGCGGACGACGGTTTGGACTGTTGTTGACGGGCTAGACCCCCCTGCAGGAGGCCCACCATCGAAGAAGCCGTACCCTCCGCAATCAGGACCAACGTCCTTGAGAACTGCGGGACTTGGATCGCCCCCACCGTATTGGGGGGTGGGGGGGCGAGGGTGTTGCGCTGCCGGAGCGCGCTAGCTTCGGTAGTCAGACGACTGACGAAATCGGCCCAATCGAGGTTGGCGTCTTGCTTGAACTTGGCGAAGACGTCGGCCTCGCGGCCCTTGAACTCGATGCAGTGGCGGGACGAGTACCGGCGGAGGTCCTCGGAGATCCTGAAGAGCTCCCGGAAAAACAGGCCAACTCGGTCGGCCCCGGCCGCAGAGGCGCCCGACATGCCGTCCTTGATGAAAACTTCCAGGACGCGAATGAAGGTGTCGAGATGCACGTCGAACGTGCGTGTCACCGCCGCTACCCCCGGGGGGCGCGGCGGCGAGAACGCCGCGATGTCGATGGCGCTGAAGGTGAGCAGCGCGTGCAGGCCCGGGTGCGGGTGGGCCACGTCCCGGATGATGTGGTCGAACTCGCCCCCGTCATGACGATAGGCGAGACGGTAGCGCCTCGCAGTAGCGACAGGGCCGCTTGGCCGTCCTTTTCGCACGTGCGGCCCTCCAGCTTTTGGGCTTCTTTCAGCCAATGGGCATTGTATACAGGCGCGGCCCCCGGGATGCTCGCGAGCTGTTGGTATCCCTGGGGCGCGGCCGACTGGTGGTAGTGCTGGCTGGGGTATGCGTGGAGTTGTTGGTATGGATACTGTTGTTGCAGTGGTTGCGGCTGCTGCGGCTGCTGCTGCTGGTGAGGTTGTTCCTGCTGCTGCTGCGGCTGCTGCGGCTGCTGCTGCTGCTGCTGCTGCTGCTGCTGCTGCTGCTGCTGCTGCTGCTGCGGCGGCGGCGCTTGGACCAGGGGGAGGACTACTGACTGGCTATTGTGGGGGGCGGAGCCGCCCTGGGCATTGTTTTGGGCCGCGGCGCCCTGCGCGGGCTGCCGGTTGCCGGTCAAGTTTACGACCACCTCCTGGAGAGACCGTATCTGTTGTTGCTGGCGATGGCCCTGATTCACGAGCTGTTGAAGCAGCGAGAAGAGGTTCGGATTGCTCCCGACTCCCTGTTGCTGCTGCTGCTGCTGGGGCTGTTGCTGCTGCCCTTGCTGCTGCTGCTGCTGCTGTTGCATCAGCTGAGGTTGGGGGGCTCCGTGAATCATGGGCGGCGGCGGCGGGATTGCTACCGCCGGACCGCCGGCGTTTGGTTGCTGCGGTTGGCCATGCTGGTGTCCCTGCTGCTGCTGCTGCTGTTGCGCCTGACAATGCTGCTGCTGCTGCTGCTGCGGCTGCTGCTGCGGCTGCGGCTGCTGCTGCGGCTGCTGCTGTTGTTGTTGTTGCTGCTGCTGCCTGTTTTGGTCGTCCCCGCCACCGACCCCGAGTTTGGAGGACTGCCGCCCCCCGAGTTGCCTTGTCGCCGCGGCGACCGCCGCGGCGCTCGCGCTCGCCGGTTGCCCATCATTGCCGTCCATCCCAAAATCGATCAAATCCTAGGCGGCACTCCCTGTTTGCTGCTCCTCAAAGCTGCTATCTCTGCTACTCCTCTCCTTCTCTCAAATGCACTTGCTTGTCTCTCGCCCAGCGAGAGCACAAAAACTGTCTGACACCAGGGCTGTCTCTATTTATCTTCGATCCCCGCTTTTCCGAATTCCAACACGCCTCCACAAACCACAGATTCCGATGCGTACTAAATCTTCTCGTTTTTGGTGCACGCTGGTATGGGACGAGGAAAGTTTTGTGCACGGGACTGTTGGAATGCGGGGGCGGGTTGGTTCAAAGTCACAAAAACAGGCTACCCCCCCCCACACATACACGCAGCCCTTGGGCACGCCATCTGCTGCGGCTGCACCACGCCACGCCGGGCCGCGCAACAGGCAAACAAACGCTTGACCACGCAACTACTGTCCAGTGCGTCACACGAACCAGCATGGCACTCAACCTGGAGGTATCCAACAGAGCGCCGGCACTGCCAGTAGAACTCACGAATGACCTCATGGATTCCTTTGGGATCTTCTGCGCTACGTATGGAGGTACACCTCGCGGCCAGCAGTCCCAGAAAGCCCTGCAGTGCTTCCCTATAGCATGGGCTTGTCTCGCCGTCAAGGAGGCGGAGAAGAAAAGCAAAGAAGTTCGTGACAGAGACGTGTCGAGGTGCTACCAGGAAATCGCGCTTCCTGGCTGGATAAAGTTGTGCCACCGAGCTATCACGGAGTCCGCGGAGTCCGACAACCCGCTGCGCTTCCCGGCCGGGTTGGAGTCTAAGCTCTACTTCCCCACGCTCGGAGGTGCGTGACGCGTGTAAAGTTGGGGTAGACGATCACGATGGATTGCTGACTGCCCACAACATCAGTGATTCTGTGTATTGGAGAGGGTTAGCCCGTGCACAGCAGTTTGGACGGCGAAGTCGCGCACTCCCTCGTACAGGTCCAGAACAAATTGCTTGAAAGGCCAACGTACTTTTTAGGAGTTTTTTCCGCGCGCGAAGCGCGCGTGCGAAAAAACACGGAGCGATAGCGGAGTTTTTTTTCGCGAAAAAACTGTCTTAGATGGGTGTGAATGCCACCTCAGACTGTCGTGGATTCTGACGTCAGATGACCTGTCGGAGATCTACCTTCGGGGTGTTACCACAGATAGAGTCAGTGCAGGTTGGATGCTGAACCTTGGTTCAACACAAGGTTAATCCCCACCTGCCTCACACACACACACTCGACTCAACGTTCCGTACATCAGCCTCTCCACCAGAGGTTGATCCGGTGTGTATCCACACCGCCCATCCCTAAGGGAAGTTGCTCACACGCGAACCTGGAGACAACAGTCTCATAGTGGCGTCAGCGGCATTACGTGTGTTTGTTGAGTTCTTTCTGCGGTGGTGGCACTACCTTGCGGCAGTTGCCATCATGGGGAACAGAAAAAAGTCGAGAAAGAAACAAGAGGTCCACTTCCAGGAAGAGGAGGGGGACCAACAGCAGCTCGTCGACTTCGAGCCCGAAGGGGAGGACGAAGATCAACACGTCCTAGCGTCCCCCACCGGCCCGTCGTCGCCGTCTCCATGGTCGTCGTCGTCCTCTTTGTCGGAAGACGAAGGGAATCCGTCGCACCGTTCATCGGATGATGACGATGGTGTTGATCGATTGTCGTCCATGCAATTGCTGGAGGCAACGTGCAAGGAGGAGGTGAAGGCTTACCTCCGAGCGTTGCGGCACAGGCAGACCCCTCCGGAGCTGTCGCCAGCTACCATCGCGTGGCAACAGCGTCTCCTGACGGAGTCGGTGCCCGCCTCATCGTCTGTCGCAACAGCGTCAGATACGTCGTCGTGTCGAGCCTCGTCTCGTGGAACGAGTGCAACTGCACCGACATCGGTAAGTTCAAGCGTTCCGTTTTTTGCTCCGTCGTTGCCCAGGCGGACACCGTTGTCCCCTGGAGCACCATCGTTCGTTCCGTCCGCGCAGGCAACGAGTGGATCATATCCCTCGCCGAGTTCGTTGCTCACTGTGCCCGTAAACACGTCTACCTCGGTGTCGTGTACGTCTAGTAGTGCAACCGCAGCTACTTCAACATCCTAAGTTGCACCTGCTAGTGCGCAATCGTCCCTCGTAGAGTCACCTGTTACTTCAACAGCACAGGTTGCAGTCGCGAATGCGCAATCGTCCGTCGTAGCACCACCTGTTACTTCAAATCGCAGGTGGGATCGACTGCTGTAGCGACCGAAGCCCCTGTTAGTACTTTTCTGCAAGCAGCTACCGTTTCGATATCCGCGGCTGACCTCCGCAGCGTTCCCAAGCTGACTGGAGACCGTGCCGAGAATGTGATAGAAATCTTGAAACATTTTCGTACGGTAGTTGGGCTGAAAGCCGCAGTTGTCGACACGGATTCGTCGTATGCTGATGGGGTTGCACTCAAGCACGTTGCCCTTGTGGGAACAGGATAGGTGTTGACCCTGATACAGCAGATCTTGTCTGGACATATATACTGTTCTAAGGCAAGCACGTTCACAGAACCGGAGGAAAAAGGGTCGTTTCCCCCTCCGACCACGTGGGACGCCATGTGTTCTGTTTTGCTTGATTCACTTCTTCCCGCAAATTTAGTTGAGGGGGAGGCACACAATCTCGCAACGTTCGTCCAAGGGCCGCAGGAATCTGTTTCCTAGTATGCGCTCCGTTTCCGTACTGTCGTGGCACGGTTTCAAGCTGCCGTCGAGCGTGATGGTAGCCGTACCGCTTGGAATTGCATGACAGTAGCGCTGTGGCAAAATGGGTTGACTCCTGAAGTTCGAAAACTTCAACGGGGATACACCCCCGTAAAGTCGCTCAAAGAGGCCATTGATCGAGCGCGTCGTCTCGAGGAGTCGGAACCCGTTATCACTGTTTCGGCAACTCACTCAGTATCGTCTACCTCCACTCGTCCCGCGGCGGTGTTTCAGGCGCGCCCTATGCAGACGGTGACTATCAGGAAGTCACCCACCGCACGTCCGCCGACACAACACCTAGGAACGCTGGCAGCTCGTGGCCGAGGTTCGGGTAGAGGGGGTGGTCAGCATCGGCCGTCGTTCGATCCGTGCACCCACCCCTCCTGTCGGTCGAACAAGACTCACCCGATCGAGCGCTGCTGGGTGAGGATCGTGGAGGAAGAAGAGCGTCAGGGTCGTTCCGCATCGAAGCGGGCCCGTAAAGGTCGTCGGCGAAAGCAGAAGGACGATTCTTTGGACTCCGAATCGGGGTGCCCAGGTGTTGTGCCCGCAATACTCGGGAAGAAATCTGCTGCTGCCGTAGAAGTTTGCAGTAGGGGCGTGAAAAGATCTTTGATCATTTTGCGTCACTTGCGCGTTCGTCTATGTCGTCTGGTACTCCGAGGTATAGATCGTGTTCGAAGAGTACAAATCGACTTGTAAATATGGCACATGCGTCCCCTGTCGTAAAACAACCACATAGAAGGTTAGGGCGTTCAGTGAACGCAGCCGATTTAGACGTGGTTGATAGACAGTCTCCTGTGGCATCGCGTGACCGTCAGAGCGCCAAGAAAACAAGGGCCGACAGGATTGTTGCCGTACCGAAAAAAATATCGGAGCGTAAGAAGAGGAAGAGGAAGTCGGATGGAATTAAACAACGTGTTTCGTGGTACAGCTCAGCGCTGGCGCGGAAAAAACCGTCTCTGTCTCTGTCTTTTTCATCCAAACGCGTTCGCGCTTCTGGATATATATGTCGATGGTCAATTTCTCCCTGAAATCACTATCGATGCTGCAAAGGACGTCACGTGCGTTTCACTTTCGTTTTTGAAACAGCACCCATCGTTATCGTTTGCTCGTTTAGAGCCAATACCGTCCCCGTCCCTAAAACTCAGTGCCGCAAATGGTGCACCAGTCAAAGTTTTAGGATTTATTTCGTTCGTTGTTCGGTTGGGAGACGTGTCCCGCCGAATCGATGCGTTGGTCGTACCATCGCTCGGTCCTGATCAAATCCTAGACAATGATGCAATGACTCGGTTTGGGGCAGTACTTGACTGGAAAAATGAACGTTTGACTTTTGAGTGTAGTGACACTATTGTCCCCGCGATTCATCGTAAAAAATCTCAACACGGTTCTGATCCGTTGCCGTCCCCTCGTGTTGCAGCCGTTCATCGAAATGCGGAAGAACACTCAGTCAAATTACGTCAACGTTATAATATTCGCCCTCGTCATGCGATGATCGTCAAAGCATTTACTGAATGCATACCGTCCGTTGATACCGCCGTAGTAGTCGAGCTGCGTATTTTGTCGGCAGATGAACCTTCGTTCGATACTGTTCCGCCCGAATTCGAGCGGGTAATCGTGGCTCGTACCGTCTCAACATGGAGTGCTGTTGATGGTTCGGTAGTTATCCAAATTGCGAATCCATCATCTGAGTATTTCGCCGTACATGTTGGATTGGATATTGGAACTTTATCGCCGATTACTATGGTAGCACAGGAACAGCTTCACGTCCATGCTGTTGCCTTGTCTCCAAAAACCGCGAGTGAAATTGCTGCTGCTAAAGCTGAGCTGGTAGAACCGCTGTCGAAAGCGTTCGCAAATTCCACGTTCACTAAGGAACAGCAGACTCGTATTTTGGACCTGTGCGCAAAATATCGTCCCGTTTTTTCGCTGAATCGTAAGGAGCTTGGTAAATGCACCACTGCTCAAGCCACGTTTCCTATGCCGCGCAACGCTAAACCGGTTAACCGTCGTCCCTACCGCGCAAACCCGCACACTGAAGCCGTTATCCAAACGTGCGTTAAGGACATGCTTGACGATGACATCATCGAAGAGCTGCCTAGTCAGTGGGGTTCCCCCGTTACTCTCGTCGCGCGTAAAGATGGTAAACCTCGTTTTTGCGTCGATTTCCGAAGCACCATCAACAAGCACATCAAGTTCAAGACCTGGCCTATAGCGAACATGGAGTGAGTCCAACCTTGACTCTGTCGGCAGCGCCAAGTTCATCAGCGTTGCAGACGTCCAGTCAGCGTACTGGCAGATTCCTGTTCATCCTGACCACGTCGAAAGGACAGCCTTTGTCACCAACTCTGGCAAGTACTGTTACAAGCGGATGCCGTTTGGTGTTTGTATTGCCCCATGGATTTTTACTGAGATGGCCCACAAAACGTTAGGCCATATTCCCTAATTGTTGATTTACATGGATGATTTATGTGTGCTTTCAGCAACTTTCGAGAATCATATGAAGTCTTTGGAGAGCATGTTCGTAGCTCTCCAAGCAGCAGGTCTGACATTGAAACCTTCGAAGATTTCGTTTGGCCCCAAGTCCATCGAGTATTTGGGACATATTATTTCGGCTGAAGGTATTTCTGTCGGGAAGGATCGTATCAAAGCCGTCCAAAACCTTCCTACTCCTTTGTTGCCTGAAAGATCTTCGCTCAGTACTCGGGGTCNGAAGTCTTTGGAGAGCATGTTCGTAGCTCTCCAAGCAGCAGGTCTGACATCGAAACCTTCCNGAGAGCATGTTCGTAGCTCTCCAAGCAGCAGGTCTGACATTGAAACCTTCCAAGATTTCGTTTGGCCCCAAGTCCATCGAGTATTTGGGACATATTATTTCGGCTGAAGGTATTTCTGTCGGGAAGGATCGTATCAAAGCCGTCCAAAACCTTCCTACTCCTCGTTGCCTGAAAGATCTTCGCTCAGTACTCGGGGTGGTTAATTTTGTGCGCCGGTTCATACCGGATTATGCAGAAATAACCAATCCGTTGGTGGAGTTAACTCGCAAAGAGTACGCCACAAAATCACGTTTCGTAAAAGCTTGGAACAAATCGCACGACGCATCGTTCGCTCATCTAAAGCGGTCATTAACTTCAGCGCCCGTTCTACCCTTCCCACACTTCGATCGGGAATTCGCAGTTCATGTGAATGCATCCGAACATGGGTGTGGCGTGTTTCTTGCCCAGCCGTCCAAGGCTGATCCAGAGTCTCTTGACATGATTGCGTATTATAGTCATAGATTCAAACATGGACAGCGTCATTACACTGCGACCATTAAAGAGTGTTGCGGTGTGGTTCTTGCAATTTCGCATTGGCGACCGTACTTATTTGGGAAACACTTTACGGTGATCACGGATCATCAAGCGTTGACTCATCTTTTTTATATGCAAGACACCAGCAACATGCTCACTCGTTGGGCTATCGCTCTTCAAAATTATGATTTTACCGTCAAACACGTAGCGGGAAAATTGAACGTCGTACCCGATACGTTATCTCGTTTATTTGGCGAAATTGAGTCCGAAAACATGTAACACAAACCGGCCCTAGCGTCGATTTGTAGGAATGTGCCGAGTGATCGTCCGTACCATCCTCCTGGCCCTCGTGACTACGAAATTTCTGCCGATTCGTTGAACGATGTTGATTTCGTCCATAATGACATCGAACTGTTCGCTAGTACTGTATCGTTATTTCCTGTACTGGATCCCGCTAAATTGCGAAGAGAACAGTACAAAGAGTTCGGTCCGTATATCGACTACGTCAAGAAACCCGAAACAGCACCGTTACCGTCTAGCGAAAAAAAGGCACCATGATGAGTAATTACTTCTTGAATGAGAACGTTTTATTCAGGTCGTATTTACCAGGGTATCTTCGTAAACGCAGTTCGTTTCGTGATCAACTTGTCGTTCCTACCGTTTTGCGTGCGTTAGTCTTGGATTCTTGTCATGATGCTCCTGCGTCAGGGGGTCATCTAGCGTTCAAAGCCACGTACGATAGACTCAGAGATCGTTTTTGGTGGCCGACCATGTCTAGAGATGCGTCCAAACACATCCAGCATTGTTTGTCGTGCCAACACCGAAAAACGTCCCACAGACGACCGTTATTACCTGTGGGTCACCGTCCCGTTACTCGTCCGTTTCAGTGTGTCGCGATCGATCTCGTTGAATACAACTCCGTATCGCAGGGTTGCAAGTAAGTCTTGTCGGTCATCGATCACCTGACTCGTTTTCTCGTGTTGATTACTATTCGTGATAAAAAAGCGACAACAATTGCACAGGCTCTTGACAGCGTGTCTCNTCCGTATCGCAGGGTTGCAAGTACGTCTTGTCGGTCATCGATCACCTGACTCGTTTTCTCGTGTTGATTGCTATTCGTGATAAAAAAGCAACAACAATTGCACAGGCTCTCGTAGAGCGTGTCTTTTCCGTTTTTTCTCCCCCTGAAACGTTACACAGTGATCAGGGCACTGAGTTCGAGAATGAGTTGGTTAAAGAGTTGCAGGCCGTGTTTGGTTTCAAAAAAACTCGGACGTCCGCGTATCGGCCGCAAGGTAACTCTGTATTAGAGCGCGTGCACAGCACAATGCATGGCATGCTCGCATGTATGTAAACGTTCGGTTTGATAATTGGGCTGAGCTTGTACTGTTTGTGCAAGTCGCCCATAACACCGCGTACAACCAAACTCTTGAGGAAACTCCTCACTATCTGATGTTTGGTCGCCAGGCTTTGCTTCCCGTGGATGTCATTCTTGGTGTACCGTCTCATGATAGCTCTGCTTCGCGTATGGAATATTCACGTCGTACCGTGGATAACTTGCAACTCGCGTATGAGATCGCTCGTCGTAATTTGAAAGAGCGAACTGACAAGCAAGCAGACTCGAACGAAAATTTATCCGTACCGCAGTTTACTCCTGGGGAACAAGTTCTCGTACATCGTCCCCACACCGTTATGGATGACCCCAATCCCAAGCTGATCAGCCCTTGGCATGGCCCATTAACCGTTCGTTCAAAAGTATCACCCGTCATCTATCGTGTTTGCAAAGACGGAGAATTCGCGGAAACGTCAGTACGCTTGGGTCGTATGAAAAAGTACTATGCTTTTCAACGTGATTCTGTCCTCGATTTTTCTGAATTGGATGAGATGTTTCTTGGGACAAACCCTTCCAATTCCCGATTTGGATGGTACCGTGTTTACCGTAAAAATTGGACCGTACGTCGTCGAGGGGAAAGACAAATTCAAACGTGGAGCACGAAAACCGTCTCTCCATAACTTCCAATATTATTTCCTCCTCAAAGGCCGTCCTGAAAGTCTTGGGTGTTGGAAGCACTTCAAAGAAGCACCCCAGTGTCACGAGATGATCCGTTCATATCGAGCGCGCGTTCTTCGTGATAATAATCCGCACGCCTTTGATCATCCTCCTAGAAAGTAGCGCTCGTAGCTGCTTCGTATTGTGTCTTGTGCTGCGTTTGCCTTATTCGTTTCGTGTTTCGTTTATTTTACAAGGGCTATGCTTATTTTTTATATTTTTGTATGTGCATACTTCGTATATTTTATTGTTCGTCGTCCAGCACGATCGTTTCGTAGTGCCCGCCGTCCCCAACGTTCCTTCGCAGTCCGGCCGGACATTGACGTTGTTGGTGGATACGCCCACGTTGGATGCAACACCTCGTGGAAGTCGGCAGGCGGAGCCTAGTTTGCGTCGAGATTCGCCCTCCGCGAACCAAGCATGGTTGCGTGTCTTCGTTTCGTCGGACATGCATGCTAGCGCACGTCATTTTTAAGGCATGGCGTTGCCCGTTCGTTGTGTGATTAGATTTTACTATATATATTTCTCTGTTTGAATGCCGTACGACATAGTACCTCGTGCGAGCTCCGTAAACGTTTTCAATTATGATTGGAACGTACGTCCGTTATAGACAATCGTGCGTGGTGTGAAGCGTCCATTGCCGTTGTGTCGCTGTCCTTGAGATACGAGTGCGTCGTATGGGGTCAGTTGATGCTTTATGTGAGCGAATATGCGTGCTCGGAAGTTCGTCGTCTTCTCGTCCACTCCGTCCTGAATTGGGGGGTGATATCGTCTCACTTGCAGTTTGGGGGAATTGCAATTGATAATCGACTTCCGGATCCATGCACTTTTGCATTGTTCACACGGTTTTGTTCATGCCCGATTTGTCTTGTCGTTTGTGTGGTGGATTTTTATCCCACACATCGTTTCTCGCGTGTCGTCCATCGCGAAAGAGTAGATGGTGGTCTTGGCCGTGCAAGAGGAAGCACAAGAGGACCAGACTTTCGTTCCACTACTGCGTCAAATCCATGCTACAGCACATCGTTGGCTGTACTCGTAATCACCATTCGTCGTCGTTCGTCTATGCAGCACCTCTCAATTGCGCAATCGCATGAGAAGGTCG